AATGTTAAGTGAATTATATAACTTTAGTTTCACTATATGTCATTTGATATGCAGCATATCTAATCAATGTAGCAAAAATATTTATGAGGATTACTATTTTTTTAAGAACGCTATCCTTTCACCGAATAGCTGCACTTAAGTGAAAACGTAATACAAAGCTCCAAACCTTTGTGAAGAGACTTACATTATCCTTCATCTTTCTGAAGCTGAAGTCCTTTTTTGACCAAGAAGATAAACTTAGTTATTGAGGGGAAAAAGGCTTTGAAACTAGATTGATGAATTTTATTTTCTTGTTTCATTTTTTACTTTTCAGAATTAGCTCTCTGCTGGGCCTCTGGACAAGAATTCAATTAAGAGAGTAATGTCTGTGGGAAGTTAATATGTTACTTGTTCTGGGACTTTCTTGATGTACCTACTTTGTGGGACAGAAGTATAATGGTAACCCAGTGAGAAATCAAAACTACCACTAGCATTTATGCTGTTAACATGTGGACATTTGAACCTGCATCTGAAAGCTTCAGCAGCAGAGAGAAAGGAACAAAAAAATTTTGTAGCCAATTAAGGGCAGTGAGTTAACTACAGAAGAATCATAGTAAATTTAAAAATAAATTACCAGGAACACAGTAAATGATCAATAAATATTAGTTTTTTAAAAAATGGTATCTTCCAAAAAATTTTTTAAATGGTATCTTCCAAACAACAAAATATGAGTTACCCCAAGGACAAATGCCTAAGTCCCAAATAATATTCAGTACTTATTCATTCAGTCTTTATCGTGAAGATACCCCATTCCTTTCAAAATGAATTCCTAGAATGTGTTACAACAGATTAACCTATACTTAGAGTACATGTCTGACACAGAAAACAGTGGGAAGAGAAAAGCAGGCTGTATACTGGACTAATTAGGAGTCTCACTCTGCACATTCCCTCTTGGTATGAAGAGCCAAATGGTCTAAGAAAGTACGTTTAGATATCAGAGGTAAATGGGTTGCAGAAATGGAATACTCTGGAATTTTCAGTTACAATCTACATCGAACAATACAGGAGCAACTCATCTGTCTTCTCAAAAACCTTTACCCATCTAATCTCACTTAAGTGGGAAGGAGGTTAAAAAAAACACTGCAGAAGATCACTGTCCTCTGTCAGCATATGTCATCAAATGCTGGCCTGTGAAGTCAGTTTGAGAATCTAGTACGTAAGCAAATAAATCCTTGCAAGAAGAAACAAAGCAAAGCTATCTGTATGTCAACCAAAAAGTCTCTCATTCCTTTTTACAATTTAAATTCTTTTCCTTAACAATTTGGTAAATATAGGATTGGGGGAATATTGCCATTTGGCATTATATTTTATATAAGCAGAAGTTGTCTTGACAAGTTCACTTTTTAACTTCTTTTTTCCAAAAAAGGTGTATAACTATTGTTCTGCATAACTATAGAATTAATGTGGCCTGACCACATTTCTGATCTTTTTTGGTAAGACTTCTTGGCAGTATATTGAGGTTACATGTGGACAGAAGACATAATTTATGGATGCTATAAGGCACCCTCATTCTACTTGGCAAGTGTCCCTCTTCCCTCTTGAGATTAGACAGTGGCAGTTCCACCTTGTGGGAAATGTGATTTCTTTTCTAAGTGGCCTGCCCAAGTCAGATAGAAGGGAAAAGGAAGAGATAAGGGCATTTCCTACATGATTGACATGGTTAAAATGTGTCCCAGAGAGGTCAAAGTGATTTTTTTTTTCTTTTTCTTTTTTTTTTTTTTTTTAGTGGTAGATTTGGGAATATGCTATTTGGGCTGTTTCCTATGCTTTCACATAGTAAACTCTGTGGGGGGTTTTTTCTTTTTGTTTTTTTTTAAGTGATTTCCTTTAACATGGAAAGAAAGGACAGACATCTGGGCTATTACAACGGAATGAATTTTTATCATGGAAAAAATGTCAAATTCCATCATTTTTTAACTTTTCAAATTTGACTTTGAAAAATTCTAGAGTGCAAAAGACTCTCATGGTTTTGTTTTTGTTTTGACTCTCATGGTTTTTAATCAGTTAGCACTTCAGCATGAAATGCATTTAAATCAACATGAAATTTATCTTTAAGAGCAAGGACCTAAAATGAAAAAAAAAACATTTTTTTTAAGATTTTATTTATTCATGATAGACATAGAGGGAGAGGGAGAGAGAGAGAGGCAGAGACACAGGCAGAGGGAGAAGCAGACTCAATGCCGGGAGCCCGATGCGGGACTTGATCTCGGGACTCCAGGATCACACCCTGGGCCAAAGGCAGGCGCCAAACCTCTGAGCCACCCAGGAATCCCTAAAACGAAAAATTTTTTCATCTCAAGTCATATGTGGTGAGGTAGTGTCTTTCTAAATTCCATTTACTTATAAGAAATTTGACTTCTCCAATACTACCATTTATCACATTGTCCCCTTTCTCTGTGGTCATTTCTATGCCAGTTTTCGCATTCAAACATTAATTATCTGAGATACCAGCTTATTCAGCCTTATAGCCCAGATGTGATAACAACTATAGACACACACACAGAATAGGAATAAGTGGAAATCCCAAAAGGGAACTCCCACCCCCAAATTTGTTATCAGTGTGTCTATGGAAGAAAAGGCCAAACTTAAAAAAAAAAAAAAAAAAGTAAAATGAAATAGGGATGCATTGTGTGGAGGCCTTAAGGGTTGGGTATGTGGTAATAGAACCATGACTAGGCAGTTTAGTTACTGAAGTGCAAAGTGTGCATGCATTTAAAGAAATACTGCTTTTAGGGCAGCCCGGGTGGCTCAGCAGTTTGGCGCTGTCTTCAGCCCAGGGCGTGATCCTGGAGATCGGGGATCAGGTCCCGAGTCGGGCTCCCTGCATGGAGCCTGCTTCTCCCTCTGCCTGTGTCTCCGCCTCTCTCTCTCTCTCTCTGCCTCTCATGAATAAATAAAATTGTTAAAAAAAAAAAAAAAAGAAAGAAATACTGCTTTTAAACTGCTTTTAAAGATTATGCTTTGGAATTCCTTATAAAACTTTCTGCAGTGAGTATGCATTTGTGGTCAGAAATAAAATGCAACTCTTTTCAAGAGATTGGTGATGTTTGTGAAAAATCATCCAACTTTCCAAATCCTCTGCTTTAATTGAAACAATCCCTTCCTTCTGTGATTGACAGTGTTAATATGTCTATCATAGGTAGGAAATGCCAGATAGAACTGGTACCATGAGCCTGCTGACTAGGGTTCTCTTATAGAACCCAAGAGCCTTCCACACCAGCACCCAAGTGTTTTACCTTTATCTTAAAGAATTGTGTATGTGAGTTTAAAAAGTAAAATAATGCTAAGTTGATTTACTTTCTCTGGTTTGTATATCCAGGCTTCAATTTCTATCATATGTAATATTAAATAGGCCTAAACTCTGAACTCTGATCTCTTTAGTAAGCTAAAGATTATTTTAGCCATTAAGCCCTGGCTGTTCCCTCTCTTAATTATTTCATGGAAATAATATCAGAAAGAGGAAATGTGGTATATTTATAAAGCAACCATTAAAAACCATGTTTTCCAGGAATACATGATGTTGGAATAGTACTTATAATACAGCACTGAACAGATAAACAGTGTATCAAGCAAAAGTGTTAAAAGCTGATGTATAAAAGTTTATAAAAAGACATACAAGAAAATCACCAATGTTGCAAATGGTAGTCTTGTTGGAGCACTGATAGCCTATTTTATTACTTTATTACTATTTTACTACTTTTATACTTTTTCCCCATATTTTTCAGAATAAAACATGTATTGATTTCATAATAAAAAAATATAAAACTTTGTTCATTTAAAGAATTCTGAAAGACACAAAGAATCAAGAGCAGGCCTCTGAGGAGGCCAGGGAGAAATCAGTGTCACTTTTGAAAGTAATGCCAGTCCTTGTTTCTGTAAATGAAGATTATTGAGCTCCTTATTCATGAGGTGGGCCAGAGGTGTCCTGTGCATCGAAAATGCCAGCCTAGTGACATGCAGTAGGTGTAGACCTCTGCCTTGTATGCCCTGGGAACATTGTGAGAATTGCCAGCATTTTGATGGGGCTTCACAGCTCTCACAGCTGCTATATATCAAGCAGATGCTGCTCTAACATTTCAGCATTCTGAGATGTGAGATTGGGACGGATTCTTCCTAAGCACACCAGGCTTTGACCAACTACCAAGTACCTGACCAGAGTGTTGTCATGAGGTCTGTCAGATGAAATTCTGGAGCAGAAGCCATCTGTCATTTAATGTGCTTCCAAAGGGAGTCAAGGGATAGTTATTCATCCAAGGTAAAGGAAATACAAAAAAATTTTTAATTCAGGACTGTTTTTTCAAGAAAAACATCAAACCATTGTTACAACTGAGAGAATTTCAGAGTCCTTGGCTGTGAGTCAGGTGTTTGGTGTTATATAAGAATTTATCAATCACTGTTTAAAAAGAATATCGGATAGCTCTGTGAAATGAATGAGGGGAGCTTAAGCCAGGATGAGGCAGATTTAGTAATGAGTTCACTCATCACATCTCATGGCCAAGAAAAACATGCACCTTCTCCAGAGACAGGATTTTTCTTCCATTCCAGGAGGTGAAGGAACACATGAAGTATATGTTGTCCAGATTTCAGTGAGCAGATTTCACTAGCAGTTTTTTGTAACCACTCACAAATAAATGGGAAGACAAATCATGAGATAACTGGAGTCTTCCTATATCAGGAATGTCATCTCTTTAAAAACAAGTTAGTCCTGTGTTTAATCCCCTGCCTAAATACGGAACTCTCAGTTTCGCATTGATAGACTAAGCCAACATTCTCTACCTGTCTCACAGAAGTGGTTGGGTGGGACAGTGTAAATGTTCGAGTGTGTGGAACTGTATCTCTTTATAATCCTGAAGATGTCAATGGTGATTAGAGGAGCTTTAGTTGTCTTTGACTTGGGAGGCATAAAGATATTTGAACTTGTTTCAGAATGACCTTGACTTTCCTCAATTTTTTCACTTCAGATCATCCAGCCCCTCTTAGAACTTGACCAAAATAGAAGCAAATTAAAGTTGTATATTGGACACCTGACAGCCCTCTGCCATGACCGAGACCCCCTGATCCTCCGTGGACTTACTCCACCAGCTTCCTATAACTTGGACGATGACCAGGCAGCTTGGGAGAATGAGCTGCAGAAGATGACCCAGGAACAGGTCTGTCTTTCACTTGAACTTTTGACAAGGCACTGGTAAAATTCAGCTGCTACTTAGATTGGTGTAAGAGGAGCTCCCTTGGGAAGTTCAGTGTTCAGATTGAAGATTCTTAGCAATGAGCAGTTCTTCAACAGATAATAGAAATTACCTTTTGCAAGAAGTACCACTTTATTCTTCCCTCAGTGTGACTTGCTCCCTTATTAGAAAGGGCTGCTTAAAAAGGAGAGAGTTGGGGCACTTGAGTGGCTCAGTCAGTTAAGCATTTGCCTTCACCTCAGGTCATGACCTCAGGATCCTGGAATCAAGCCCCACATTGGGCTTCCTGCTCAGTGGAGAGTCTCCTTCTCTCTCTCCTGCTGCCTCCACCTACCCCCAGCCCCTGCCACTGATGCTTACACTTGTGCATGTGCGCACATGCTTTCTTTCAAATAAATCTTTATGGAAAAAAAAGAAAAAAATGGATGAGGATAGCTATAGAGAACAGACATGGAAAGTGAACAAAAGAAAAATTGAATGAACACAGAAAAAGAGAAATAGAACCGTTTTTAAAATATAAACTCTTAGCTCCTTTTGTTCTTAGTTTACAGAGGAGTTGATGATATCCCTACCTAGGCTATGGTCATATCAACTGAGAGACTTAATTGCATTCATGTTGTAAATTTAGAAAATTCTCCAGAATTTTGAAGTTATGTGCTATTTTCCAGCTAAATCCTTTCCAGCTAAACACTGTTTGTTTCCTCATAATGTGTGATGGAAAATTTTGTTAAATACAGACATTTCCATGGTATACTGTTAAAGACAGCAATGTCAACCCATAGATCAAGAAATGCACACTGGAGTCTTAGAGCTGTATTTACTTCACCATGATATGGATATTGCCTCATAGTAGACATTGTAGCTGATTTAGTTATCTACTTATTTGATGAGTAAAGATAAGGCCTACTGTTCAAATTTAACATATTGCCATAGAAAATTTAACTTCTCTCTTTTCGAAGGAGGGAAGAATCTAAAGAAGAGAATGAAATTGGATTCCTAATAGCTCCTTTGGATATTAATAGCCATATAGTGAAAATGCAACTAAAAGCCCACTGGAAGCAGAATGCATGCCTAGTTAATTTTAAAAACTTTCACTTCAAAATTTTACAGAAGAACAGTGCTTCTTAAAGCACTGACATACTGCTACATCAAAACTGAACTGACATTAAACTATTTCTTTGTATAACAGCTTGTCTTTGAAATGAAAAAGTATTTTTGTTTAGTTCTTTTTTTCAAATATGCTGAAATGGACTTAACTCAGTTTTTCTAAGGGAAAAAAAAATATCTCCAGGCTGAGACCAAAACAGGAAATTTCAAACTAGGAAATTTTCTGAAAGTTTTAAGTGAATGAAACCAAGAATTCATTAATAGGCTTGTCATGGTACATTATGTTACAATCAGGCTACTGTAATCATCAAAAGAGTTTTGTTCACATTTATGAACTGTGTTATAAGTTTCTTCTTTTTTTTTTTCTTTAAAGATTTTATTCATTTACTTATGTGAGACACAGAGAGAGAGAGGCAGAGACACAGGCAGAGGGAGAAGCAGGCTCCTCGCAGGGAGCCTGATGTGGGACTCGATCCCAGGACTCCAGGATCACACCCTGGGCCAAAGGCAGGCGCTAAACCACTGAGCCACCCAGGGATCTCCCCTATAAGTTTTTTCTTGATTGAGAATATGCTCAGTCACTGAAGTTACTGCCTGAGGTGTGTGAAGTTGTGTCTTTAGCAGGCTTCCCTGAGAATCCTGAGAAACAAGAGACTTAGGTCATCCATAAAGGAATACAGCAACTAACACTACCTTCTATAAGCTTCTCCTTGGCTGCTAAAGATTGGCAGAGAAACCAAACAATTTTCTGCTACCTCACTGCAAGTAAGAATTTAAGGGAACAGTACAGGTTTTTGAGAAAGATGACCCCTAATACTCAAAATGATTGGTCTGTGAAAGTATTACGATCAAGGTTTACCTTAGTTTTTTTGAAGCCCAAGAAACGTAAGACCCAAATCATTGCCAAATATGCACATTGATTTTGTGTGTGTGTGTGTGTGTGTGTGTGTAGTGTGTTTACATATTTGTTTTGGGGGATGAAGAGCCCTCTGCAGCTAACATTTGTGTTAGCCAACTGTGTATGTCCAGTGCCATTCACTGCCACCATCCCCACCTCCCAGTAACACCCTCATGGGACAGGACAGGAGCCTTGTCTGTCCCAAGAATAATGTCTAGCATATAGTATCTGCTCAATGAATATTTGTTGAATGAGGGGATCCCTGGGTGGCTCAGCTGTTTGGCGCCTGCCTTCGGCCCAGGGCGTGATCCAGGAGTCCCGGGATCGAGTCCCACGTTGGGCTCCCTGCAGGGAGTCTGCTTCTCCCTCTGCCTGTGTCTCTGCCTCTCTCTCTGTGTGTGTCTATCATTAATAAATAAATAAAATCTTTTTTCAAAAAATTAAATAAATAAATAAATAAATAATAAATAAATAAATAAATGAATAAATAAATAAATAAATAAATAGATAAATAAATAATATTGTTGAATGAATAAGAGAAGAAGAGAGATTGGATAAATCCCATACTCCTTATCATATGCTACAAGGCTTTCTTTCATTTGGCCTATTTATTAAATGCACATCTCTTCTCATCTAAGCCTTGAAGCATACTCAAGCCCTTAGTTTTATACCTACAGTCTTTATACTTCTGCCCTTTTGCTTATGTTGTTCCTTCTGCCTAATATGCCCTTCCCTACCTTGTCTCCCTGGGCAATGCCTAAATAGGAATCTGAGTTTTTAAGCTCAGCTCAGACATCATTTCTTCTATGTATCCATTCCTGAAACCCTAGGCAGAATGTGCCACTCCCTCTTTAGGGTTTCTGTAGTACTACAACACTTGTATTTGTTTTCATATCCATCTTCCTATTCTAGCCTTCCTGTCTGTTAAAGACCTGAACTACAAAATTTTCATCTTAAAATTAGCACCACATCAACAAGTACCACTTTCTCAGTAACTTAAATGAGCAAGTGAATTCTGGTGAGTTCTGCATAGTTTACTAGTTTGTATTTCATATTTGAGATTCTTATTTCTCCAATTAGGGAAGCTTCTTCACTGCCAGAACCATCTTGTATTTTTTAAGTGCCTAGCACAGTATTATATGTGTAGAGAATGTTTAGTATATACTAAGCTGATTATTTATCCATTGGGCAACCCAAGACAGTTTCCTCAGTGCCATTCAGTAGCTTTGGATAAGCTTACTATTGATGTTAGTAACCATTCAGACTCATCCTGAGTCATAACCCTATAATCTGCAACTGCTCAGCCTGTAGAAATAGAAATTTATATCAGAAGATTTCACAGAACTGTTTTATTTCCTTTGCCTTTTTAGAGGCTGGCTATCACACCAACTAAACTTACAGATTTGCTTTTTTTTATTATTTATTGTTTTTTGCTTTATGTATTCTAAAGCTCTGTTATTGAGTACATACACATTAACAATTGGTATGTGTTCTTGATGAATTGATTTATTATTATGTAATGTCTCCCTTGAAAACTAGTGGTATTCCATGCTCTGAAATGTGTTTTGCCTGACATCCGCATAACCATTCTAGTTTTCTTTAGGTTAATGTGTGCGTGGTATATCTTTTTCCATATATTTGCTTTTAAGCTATCTGGGTCTTTATATGTAAAAAAAGTTTCTTGAAGACAGCATATATTCCACCAGCACCAGGCACAGGTCTAGCAGGCAAGGCTATTTCTTCCTCCTTGGTTCCACAGGGCAGGGCTACCTCCTAGGTTTCAGTAGGCCAGGTTATCACCTAGGGCTAGAGGGGTGGAGTTGCCACCCCAGAGGACCTAGAGGACAGAGCATCCTGCCAAAGAGGATTATTCTTAAGCCTTAAAATCCAATAGCATTTACCTTGCAAGGTTTTGAAGTTGCTTGAGACCCATGACCCCTCCTGGAATAGGAATGTCTAACTGTCCTACTACTGCTGTATTTTAGAAGTAGATAAGTTGTCTGGTTTCAAAAGGTTCATATCTAGAGAGGAATTTTTGCCTTAGGATGAATCATACCTTGAGTCTCATCCACATTTGATTTAGATGAGATTTGGAATTTAGAATTGAGGCTGAAATGAGTTAAGACTGTTGGGGTGTTGGGATGAGAATAAATGTGTTTTGCAATGTGAGAAGCACAGGAATCTTGGGGGAGTGGAGGTGGGGTATTACAAGCTGAATTATGTCCCACCAAATTTGTATATTGAATCCCTAACTCTCAAAATGTGACTGTATTTGCAGATAGAGCCTTCAACGAGGTAATTAAGTTAAAATGAGGCTGATAGGGTGGGCCCTAATCCAATATAACTGGTGTCCATAAAAGAAGAGATTAGAACCTACAGAGAGATGCTAGGAGTACATAATCACAGAAGAAAAAAAAAACATGTGAGGAAGGCAGTCATCTGAAAGCCAAGGAGAGACCTCAGTAGAAATCAACCCTGCCAACACCTTGATCTTGAACTTCTAAGTTCCAGAACTGTGAGAAAATACATTTCTGTTGTTAAAATACACCCATTCTGTTGTACTTTATATAGCAGCCTTGCAAGCTAATATGCCTTCTTTTTGAAAGATACTCTTCTCTGGATATAGAATCCTAGGTTGACTGTTTCATTTTTTAATTTTAGAGATGCTGTTATATTTTTACCTGGCTTCCATAGTTTCAGATAAAAAGTCTTTTATATTCATGTACATATTTTTTCCTTGGTCATGTTTCTTTTTTCTCTGACTGCTTTCAAGATTCTCTTTTTATCTTTTGTTTTCAGCCATTTGAAAATAATCTGCCTACTTGTGCTTTTCTTTATATTTCCTTTTTGGACTAAAATCCTGTTTTGGATCTCTGAATCTCTTGGATCTGTGTTTTGTTGTCTTTCATTAATTGTAGAAAATTCTTGGCTATTATCTCTTCAAATATTTTTTGCCCCT